ATGGATCAGTCCCCTAGCCTTTTTTACACCCCTGGTGTAATAATTTATATACGCACATAAATAGTCAAAGATCTGGGGCTCAGGCACCGTCAACAGCCGTGGTATTGCATGTCAAGTCCAGGAATGATGTGTTTGCTTATTGGAGGACTGCACAATTTTCACATCCTGGACAATTTCCAGCATAATTACAATTACCAGCCTAAAATGTTAAAGCAGACACTGCAGCCTTTCTTCACCTTTCATTCAGACTGGATTAATGGCTGGCGCAGCCATGGCCATAGTGCTGGTGACTCAGAGACGTGTGTGTAGGTGTAATCTACATTTATAGTTTAAGTGCCCACCTGAATTAGCAGGCATCTGTTCTGGCCATAAACAGTAAGTCTGGTTTTGGCAAGCATTTTCAGATCATTCTCTTCAGGTTGTTGTGTGTCCTGAGGCAGAGACTGGTTGTTATTTGTAGTTGTTGTTTTCTGGTTTGTATAACAACGCAGCGATTCACTGCTAATGGCTGAACACTGAGATAATAAATAATATACCAAATACTTATAAAATCCAATATGCATTTTCTCTGAGGATATTATCATATCATGAGAGAATAAAAAAACATTCATTATCCTTTGTCAGAAAGAGCGGGGAGTTAAAATATGCTTAAAAACGTATTTTCCTTATTTGACGTTGATTGTCTACCATCATCCTAACTGACATAAAAATGACATACAGATGGGACAAACATATTGGCTTCAGAGACATGTATACTTCTCCACCTAGCAGGACATTTGGGTTAAGATGCTGGATTGCCTTTTCTGGAAATCAGTAGGTGTTAGTGTTTAAATACGTTCAAGGATCTGGGCTTCAAACAATTACTTGCTATTAATATGTGGCTATATTTAATTGCTTAAACTTTTGCTGGAAAGCAAGACTTTTAAAGCACTTGCTGAAATGCTTATGCAATTAAGCAGGAATTTCCCGTGACCCTAAATGAACCCTATGTTGGTTCTGTCAACTTCTGCTGAGACTTCCTGACAATTGCATTTAGTCGGGTACCTAGAGCTGATAACAAGGGGTTAATATTTTATCTGCATGCTGTCATCTCTCATTGAATGAATGGAAAGATTCCTTGCTACATTATATCTCTAGGTGCATTCAGTATTTTAAGCATTACCCCTGATTGCAGAGCTACCATGTTCATGACATTAAAAAAAAGAAAACTTTTATTTCCCTCAGTTAATGAGATGCTGTCCTTGCATTTCTCCATGAAACAGAATAATAAAGCATGTGAATAAATAATGCTTGAGCTAGAACAGATCCTTTTAGTTTAGAGTGTTAGTATGATCCTGGCCATAATACCCAGAAGAAAAGAGTGAAGTCGAATTGTTTTCTAATTGATAAGATCAAAGTATCATCATGTACAAAGTCATCAGCCTAAGATGCATGTTTCATCTGCAGTTTTAACTTGAGCTTTTTCTTTTCCCTTACCTCCTACTGGGGAATATGGTTATTTACTACTCTTCATTGTGCTAAAAGTGGGACATAGAGAAAATCTGTGTTATGTATTTCTCACTGTGAGAATTTCAAAATGTCTTCCTTGTTTGCATTGTGGTACAGCCACCCCAGTGCTAGGTGCTGTATGCACATTGGCAGTAGAGGTGACATTGTAACTGAATAAAATGAACAAAATAAGGGAACAAGTTTTCTCACCACCTCTGTATGGCAGATTGAGTCTCACATACTAATCTTGAGTCATTTTGACAAGTGGACCTTAAACATACCTTCTCTGCATGAAAAAAAGCTCAGCACTGTGTATGAGAGCTCTGCATGAGATGGGCAGCCCACATCTAAACAGCCCAACTCAATACAGGATTAATGACTTGAGTCCTAGGAGGTACAGAGACACATGGGAGGCCAGCCAGTCTTCCATGTAGCTACATACAGTCCTATTGGTGCAAAGGCTTGCTTTCTGCTGGTGTAAGTTAGAGAAATTCAAAGTTTAAGCTAAGTTAAGTTGTTTCCTCCATGAGTTCTATGAGCTTTTATTAGCAGAGAGCAGCATGACTAAAATACGTCCAGTCAAATATCTAACCTTGACTCTAAGTGTTTGTAGTGTAGGACCATGCCTAGGTTTGTGTAATGTCCTCCCACCAAGCTGTAATAGCCCAGCCATGTGTAAGCAGAATAGGAGCCAGACAACTGTTGGATGTCCTCAACTTCTTTGAGGCTGCAGCACATTCAGCCATTGTGGACACAAGTATCATTAACAGTAGCCAGGATACTGCATATGTTGTGCTTCACATTCAAATTAATTGTATAGAACGATCCCAGCCAGAATCATTAGTCTGACATGCAAGGTGCTGTATCCACCAAACTGCAGAGAAAATAAGCTACAGTCCCAAAGTTTGTAGCGTTCATGATGTTTTATAGAGAAGCCCTGAGAGACAAAAGTGCAAGAGAAGGAATGTAGCAAAGCTGTTGAGAGGAGAGTCATGACTGCCTACCTTTTTCTTAGATGCAAGAAAAAACCCTCCCTTTTTGTAACAAATTCCTCCTCCAGCCTTCCCTAGACAGAGTTGGATATGATGGTGTTTCTGGGACTGCAGCTACCCTGGAAAATAATTGCTCCCCAGCCCAGAAGCGTAGGCCACTCATCCCATGGACCGCTCATTTCTTACCGTGCCCCCAGAGGCAGCTGGAGGATAGAGCTCTGAAGCGCTCAGTGGACTGACAGCTGCCTCCGCTCTTGCTGAAAAAAGATGAATAATGCATGCAGCATTATTTAAATGTAGTGTTACAAAGTGCTTTAAGGAAGAAACCCTTTGATTATTAACCCTGCCTGCATGGGAGGAACATCCTTATTCTGTCACTGTGCAGAAAGCCTGAACTGAGGCGCTGAGCCCTCGTCTCCACACCAGAAGGGTCTGGGATGCAGCATGTCTCGTCTCTCTGTGTATGCGGTGCACTCCAGACTGAGGGTCCTTCCTGGGCCTGAGGCAGTCAGTGCAGCCTCTTGGCATTTTGGCTGAAGCTGGAAACCTTCCTTAACCTTCCTGTAGCTCATACAGCTATTACATGGACTGCCTATTTTCAGTGATTCCTGATGGATGTTACCTCAGGTGAGAGCACTGCAGAGAAGTGGTTGCTGTGCATCATGTGGAGTATTTACACCAGATGTTTCACAACAAATAACTCTTTTTCCCACTTTCCACACCTGCCTAGTCTCACCCAGGCAGTGTGAGATCCAAACAACTGTAATCCTCCTTCATGCTCCCCTGAAGCCACAACATGTCTGTACCAGAGACATGAGGTTTCTTCCTTTCCTTCTGTGGCCTTACGTGCGAGGTGAAGCTGTTTGGCCTGAGCTGCAGTCTCCTAGCCAGCTGCACCTATGTGTGTTTCTGGAAAGTGCTTGCTCAAGAGATCCAGAAGAAACACTAATAACTGTACAACCAAAATCCTTCTTCAGACCATCCTGCATAACCACAGGACTGGAGAGACTGACCTCTGTGACACTGATTTCTTGAACAAAAACTTGGAGTAGGTTTTCCCCTGCTGCCACATTGGCTTGTGTAGATAAAAGTGTTTTCCACTACAGATGAACTTGCAGGAATATAATTTGGTTAATTATTTATATTCCATTAGTGACTAGAGGCCCTGGCACTACTAACTGTCACAGGATGAAAGACAACTTGTACCCAAAATAATTTGCAGCTCAGGGAGGAAATTTTCTAAGCCACAGAAAGCAGTTAGTTTCCCAGCCAATGTTTACACTTTGAAAAACATTTCCTTAAAGACAAAACAGAGGCCTTTCCTGAGTCCAGAGGCTTTTCTTCCTCACTTGAAGTCCTAAAATACTGCAGTTGTGTTATTAATCTCACTTGCCATCACATTTAGCTAAGCCTGAACCAGGGTCAGAGCCAGAGTGCCCAATGAGCTTGGATGTGGCTGCAGCGGAAAGCTCTGTTAGTTAGGCTGCTGACAATGCCCCCTCAGAAAGGCTGACCTGCCCATCTGCATTGACTCATTTTTCATTACTGTGTTTTGGTTTTTTTTTTCCACTGTATCTTCATGCCAATTTGACCTGAAAACTTGTCTCATTGACTGCTGCTGTGGCCCTTCCTCTCATGAGGGTATCCAAAGACTTAGCCCACAGCCTTCAGCTGGCCTTGTGTTTATCTGTAAAACAAAAGCCCTTATTATCTTTACAGTGTTTTTTAAGGTTGCTCAGCCCATCGATACAGTTAGAGGAAGAGCTTGCTTCTTCTAAGGCACAGTCAGGGTTACTGGAGTTAACTTCAGGGGAAAATAAACACTAGATTAATTTTAGCAACACTTTATTGCTGAAACTCCTCAAGTGCTTAGTGTATGTTATGGTATAGGAGAATTACATTTAGCAGCTCTTAACCAAAATGAAATTATGATCCATCCCTAGCAATCTATTTTGCTTTCCTATTAATCTAAACATTTTTTCTTCATTAAAAACAATTATTCTCTTCCTTGTAATTATTGCATCCTTTTTTTTCTAATCACAAAGAATGTTTTGGTTTCAGGAAGAGGAAATGTTAGTTTTACTTGAACTTTCCCTTCATCTGTATAATAATTCTCCAAATTATCCTATTTAATTGAGATGATAATGCAGAAGGCAGCTAACATTATTTTGTTGACTTGCTGAACTAGATTCTAAAAACAGGTTATTGTACTGGCTCCCCTTTGAAATTCTGATTTTCACGTTGTGCGTAGCAGGATACTAACATGCATTTATCCAAAACTTGCAGAGAAAGAAAGCCTCAGCTCTTGAGAAACAAATAGATAACAGGGAGAAATTATGAGTATTTCTATCTCTGCAGTTGGATTCCATTTTCAGATCTTAATATCTTTTCCCAAGCTTTCATGAAAAATCATGCACAAATTAAACGATAGCTAAGCTAGGACTTGAGCACCTGGGAAAATAATAATATAATAATAATAATGATAAGCTCTCTTTTTTCTCCCTTTTCCTTTTTTACTAGATGATGTTCGAAAGAGCATTGACATGTCTACAGAGAATCTCCACCAGCTATCTACAGACACCTGCTGGTTGGATTAACTGGACACTAGATAGCCTTGATTTTGTCATCTTTGAATATTTGAGTGCTTTTCCAATGAACTGTAAAGTGTACAGTTAAAAGGAAACTTTTAGAACCATACAGAGGACCCCTTGTATGAATTCTAGCTGTATTTTTCAAAGAACTAAAAAGGCTTTCTTCTTCCTGAAGAACAGATGAATTTAAAAGATTTGTTATAAGCCCAGCTTTGAGAGACCATCTGAGTTTCCAAGGCCCATTGTCATGCAGAGTTTGGCAGCAGATCTGAAAGATGAAAGTATTTGCTTTGTGAACATTTCCACTCACAGGGACTTACCACCTTCTTTACAATGTGATCCTGAGTGCTTGAACCCAGGATGGAAAAACTGTAGGAACACTCCACACTCAGGTGCTACATGATGTTGATATACAGGCATCTGCAGAAAGAAAGGAAGGGGCCTCCAGGGAAAGAGTTTGTCCTGGGGGCTACCTTTCCCTCCTGTAATCCACAGGAATCCCCTTCATCATCTTGCTGGGTCTTGCTCTGACACGATGGCCTGAGATGGCAGGGAACCTGATGTGGTGGTTTATGTGGTCCCTTCCATCCTATACCCCTACGCTATCTCCTCCAGTCTCCTTTGTCACAGGCATCACAGTTGAACAATACTCAGCTGGGAGAAGGGCAAAAGGGAAGGATTGGAGAGACATGGTGAGGGTAAGGAGTTTTGTAGCAGAGTTGTATTTCTATGTGAAGCTTTCTGGCAGTCCTCCAGCCTCCACGTAGGCAGCTGTGTCTATAGATAGCTTTGGGATGGACCAACGCCATTTTAGACAACCATTGCGGTGAAGCGAATCCTCAGCTAAGTTAAGGTGGTGAAGGCAGTGAATCATACGGAGAACTGCACCAGGTCCATCAGCAGAAATGGTTCTCAGCAAAGCTCCTTTAGCCAGGAAGACTCAGAGGCATGCTCCCCTGCTAGAAGTGCTGCCTGGAGTTCAACACCCCATGGTCACCTACCAGAAACCCTATCAGCTAATAAACTGTGTTGCTAATTTCTCACACTGCTACAAAGTCTCCTCCGTGAAGCTGTTCCCAAAGGCTCCTGCTGAGAAAACTCCTCCACTGTCTTCCCAAGCCGACCCCCATTTGTTGGCACACGTTGCTGATTAATTGCTAAGGCAGCAATGCTGAGGAGTGTTATGCAAAACCCTCTCTACATCCATTGGAAATACCTCATTGCTGTGTTTTTAACACCAGATATTTTTTTTCAAAAATGAAGTGACATTGGAGAAAACTAAAGAAACCTTTAATCTGTTACATTCTTTTCTTAAAAATATTACTTTTGTAAGAAATCAGAAACCATAACTTTGGGGGGTTTATTAGTAAAACAGTTCCCATTTTCATTTTTTGTAAGACAGCATCTTAAAGCCTTTTAGAAGACACAATAAAGAAGAAAAATGAAAGCCCAGTTCCCTTTATCAGAAGATTTTACTGATAAGGATTGCCAGACTGCTTCCCCTTCTGAATCTTGTTCAATACTAGAACACTAGCATAGTAACAGTTTGTAGATTTTGAGATACGTAATACCATTACTATAAATAATATGTATAAATGCAGCCAGAAGGTTCCTCCAAGAAAAAAAACTCTGAACACTGAGGATAATTATTACCAATTTTTTGTTTGTTTGTTTGATTAGTGTTCTCAGTTGTTGCAAATATGATCATGATTATCATATTAACCAACAGACACAGTAATTACCAAAAGACAAACCTTGCAGGTTACTACTGGATTGAAGTTAGTAAAGAATCCCATTCTTAATTAAATTCACTAGAATATTTCCTTAGCTTGAAGACTCATAAGTAGATTTTGTTTTTAAAATCCCTTTCAGCCAAATAACCACTTAACTGATTTAAAATTAAATATCTTAGTCAGGATATTTCTTGGGGAATTGCATTTGAATATTATTATAATATCATCTGGGGAAATGTTTTCTTCCCAGCTATAAACAGAAAAGAAAAAGTAAGTAAAATATTATTTTCAATGGGATTTTAATTTATTTTTCTAAAAGTGAATTCAGCACTTGGCTACCTTGGAAACCAGCACCCTTCATTTATCCACAGACTGTAAGTGCTAAACCCTGCTCACATCATTGCGTCAATGTACCTAGATCATAATTAACAACATCTGCATCTTTGCTTTTCACAAATGCTCCATCACTGCTGGGAGACCAAACTGGTATTATCTCTTCCAACGGATATCAATTTTTCAAAGAATTAGTTTTTTGGGAGAGGAAAAACCACACTGTAAATTCATTTGAAGGAAATTGTGAGGCATTTTCTTAATATTTTTGGTTTTGTTTTTAAGTTTAGTTTTAAATATGTTGCCTTCATTGGAATGGAACATCTCTATTTCTCCTCACTGAGTTTTTTTATTCACCAAAGCAGAAAAACAGTAAAAAATCTGTCTCTGTTGCTGAGGTATTTGTAGCAGACAGCAATGTTTGCTACATAGAGCCCAGCAGAGCTCACATGTGGCTGTCCAGACTGTTCCCTGCTATGTTGAAGCGCAGCAAAGACAGTTCAGCTCTCAGTCTGAGATCTTTTCCAAAATAATGAACCATAGGAGGAACCGCCTGGAACTCAGTGCTGCAGGCACTAGGGTTGGGAAGCCCCTCCAGCCGAGCCCGTGCAGCCCTGCAGATGCAGTGCTCTGCTGTGGGACACACTGAGGTCAGGTCTGCATTGATGTGCTCACATAAGCAGGATGGGGAGCCAAAGGGAAATGCAGATAGGTTCCCACAGTTTTGTTTTTCTCTTTCATGGATGCTCTATTTTCTCCAACATCTCCTGTTGTGGTTGTACCACAAGACATCATCCAGAAAGGATGATCCAGGGTTGTTCTGAGAAAGGCCTTTTTGTAAAGATGCTGCTATGGCAAGTGAATTTTGTAGGCAACCCAGGCTTATCCTGATTCAGACTTGTCTACCAGGACAGTCAGGGCATGAGGTAGGAGCTCTTGGAGGTATCCCCTTTCTCAGCCAGCAAAGACAGAATGAAGATGGAGTGACTGTCTTGAGCACTAAAAAATTACAAACCAGAAAACTTCAGTCCAATTCCTGCTTTGAGCTTAGTGATCTCTAGCTGAGCTGTGAAATTTCCTTTAGAAAGACATCTATTCTTAATTAAAGCACTCGTGTTTTTTTGGCATAAAGATTCACTTTCAGAAGAAAGTGAATTATGCAAGAAAATAAAAAGTGTTCTACAGCGTTCTATAGAGCTTTCTCCTGACAGAACCCTCATTTGGTAACCTGATAATGAACAGCACGGTGCTCCCCTTTTCTCTACCATTTCAGCTATGCAGGAAAAAAATGAGTCCCTGGAGGAGGTCTGGAAGCCACCAGGACTTGTCTGAGTTTGAACACAAATGGCGGTGGCGCAACATTTTTTCCTGTTTAGTCTAATGACAGGGTAGGAAAAAAAAAAAAATCAGTGGAAGAGAGATTTGGAAGCTAAACTTCAGGTATTCGCATCCAGAAGGAATCTGTCAGTGTGAATTCACCTGCTTCTAGGGTCAGGCTTTTCTTAAATGTCCTGGATTTGTAAAAATTAAAATAAGAAAAATAAGATATAGGCTGGAAAAAAAAAAATGGGGTTTTTGCTCATGAAGGCCATTTCCCTGCTTTTTGAGCAATGTCATGTAATCTCTTGTGAGCAGGGCATTGGGAAGGAAAAGGATATAATAATCTCTTCAAATTCTACATCCTCAAGCAGGCAGCCTACCGATAAGTCGTTCCACAAATTAGCCATAGAAATCTTTACTTCTAGGAGGAGATGATGCACTAAGCAGTGTGAGAAAAGCACTGCTTAACAGGATCTGAGTACTGATGGTTCTACTTGTATTTCTACAGAGGCTTTTCAACCCATTTTCATGCCTATACATTATACTCACTCTGGGAAGTATCCACTCATCACAAGAGCGTAGTTCAGCTCCCAGCTCAAAGCACTTTATTTACCTATCTCTGAACCACTCTGAGGGTGAAGCACTGCTTTATAGCACTTTTCGTGGTGTATATTGTGCTCTTCTAGATCAGAATGGCCATGTTTCTTTTTCTAAAAAAAAAAAATAAAAAAATCAAGCCATCAGGAAGAAATTTCAGCAAGCCGAAGAGAAAGAGGAAAAAGAACGGCTCCATTATGAACTTTGTACAGACCTCACCCTGCCAAATTTCCAGCACACCAGTCCTCTGCCCTTGCTTTGGAGGAAGCTGAGAGGGTTGTGGTGATATTTGCAGGCCATCAAGAAGTCTCTGGGGTGATATTGCTTTAATCACTTCAGTGAGTAAGAAAATCAGGCTGCGGTAAGTTGTCATGTAATGAGCTCATGAATAAAAACCAGTGAAGCAAAACCTGCTACACGGGAAGACTCTGTTCCTTTCTAGAAGTCCTTTCAAACTTAATGCCAGGGGTTTTAGCTGAGTTTGTATATATTTATACTATTTAGTCATGAAACAAAAAGAAAGATAAGAGTAATTGATCCCAGAAATGCAGTCATATACATATACATATACATATACATATACATATACATATACATATACATATACATATACATATACATATACATATACATATACATATACCATATACATATACATATACATATACATATACATATACATATACATATACATATACATATACATACACCATAGGAAAGAGATCTTCAGCCATGACTGGATGTATCTGTAGGGGGTTGACTCTGTCTGGATGCCAGGTGCCCACCAAAGCCACTCTATCACTCCTCAGCTGGATGGGGGAGAAATATACAACAAAAGGCTCGTGGGTCGAGATAAGGACAGGGAGAGATCACTCACCAATTGCTGTCACAGGCAAAACAGACTCAACTTGGGAAAAATTAACTTAATTTATTACAAATCAAAATAGAGAAGGGTAATGAGAAATAAAAACACGTTTTAAAACACCTTCCTCCCACCTCTTCCTTCTTCCTGGGCTCAACTTCACT